CACCGTTAGTTTTTTCTTTTATCAACGACGACCCGTTTCAATTTCTGCATATAGAACAAGAAGAGTACACAAATAACTGAACTTCAGTTTGAGGCTTTCAGCAGACATCACTACTTCGGATCATATAGACTGGATACACTTCCATAGTTCTATACTGCAAACTCAGCTAATCCATCGCTTGAAATAAACAGAAATCAAGAGAAAATTTCGTTTCTTTTCAACTGGAAAATCACTTCCAGGGAGGCAGGGACTCATAGCGCGAGGACGCGAGGTGTTTGACGAAACGTGTCTTGGAGTCAGCTGGGAATATAAAACGTACGTTATGCTCTGATGGTTGCCTGTTGGATCTTCTATTCATGCGGGTGGTATATACGGTTGTGAATTTTGGTAGAGGAATGCTGGACGCACTTCTTCATCGGGGTCAAATGTGCCTCAAATGAGAAAGAAGACTGGTCTCAAGAAAAATTGAGGAAAGACAGAAGGGTACATATACGAGTGTAAAACAAAAACCTATTGAACAAAAGAAGTGGACAGCAAATGATATTTAAACAAAAGCCAGCGCTCATAGTGATCATGCACCAGAGATGAGCTGGAAAACATTACCAATGAGCTGGAAGCCTTGTGGAAGTTAGAGAAAATAAAAGTTAGACAAAGATCTAGGGATAGAAAGATTAAGGAAGGTGATAGGAACACAACCTATTTCCAGGCTGTAGCCAATCAGAGAAATAGGAAAAAACATATTTCTGGTCTTGGGGGACCGGAGGGGGGATTGATGATAATGACATCATGCTTGGGCATGCTGTTGATTTCTATAAGAATCTTTTTGGAGAGGAGGAAGATAATGGTGTGAAGTTGGGGAGTGATTTTTGAGAGGGGGAAGAGAAGGTGTCCTCTTGTGAAAATGATATGCTGGAGGCACCTTTTTCTGAGGAAGAGGTTAAAGAAGCAGTGTTTGGTTCTTTTGCTGAGGGGGCTCCAGGAACTGATGGGTTTTCTTTTTTATTCTATTAGGTGTTTTGGGATGTTATTAAGAAGGACCTGATGGCTCTAGTGAATAGTTTCGAGCAAAATCAATTAAATCTGGACAGGTTGAATTTTGCTATGATCACTCTTATACTTAACGCGCGTTTAGTTCCCCAAAGTTGGATTTTGGGACTACTGTAGCACGTTCGTTTTTATTTGGCAAATAGTGTTCAATCATGGACTAATTAGGCTCAAAACGTTCGTCTCGCAATTTCCCACCAAACTGTGCAATTAGTTTTTTTTTCGTCTACATTTAATGCTCCATGCACGGGCCGCAAACATTCGATGTGACAGGTACTGTAGCAACTTTTTGAAATTTGGGGTCCAACTAAACAAGGGCTTAAGGAACCTTAGGCTAAAACTCTTAAGAAGTTTAGGCCTATTAGTCTTATTAATTGTAGTTTCAAGATCTTTGCTAAGTTGCTTAACAATAGGCTGGTTAAAGTTGCTAATAGATTTATTGCATCAAACCAAACTGCCTTTATTAAAGGCAGGTATATTCTTGAAAGTGTAGTGTCTGTTCATGAAATAATTCATGACATCCACAGAAAGAAAGAGTCAGGTATTATTCTGAAGTTAGACTATGAGAATGCGTATAACAGGGTTAGCTGGAGTTTTTTAGATGAGATGTTAGAGTCAAGAGGGTTTGGCTCTAAGTGGAGGTACTGGGTGAAAAAAGTGGTCCAAGGTGGGTCCATTTGCATTAGGATTAATGATGAGAACAACACTTTCTTTAAACCAGGGAAGGGGTTAAGAAAAGGGGATCCCCTGTCTCCCCTCCTCTTTAACCTGGTAGCAGATGTGTTTTCTGGGATGCTCATGAGAGCTGCTAGAGTTAATCTCATTTCTGGTCTTTTGCCTCAAACTGAACCTGGGGGTATTATTAGCCTTCAGTATGCGGACGACACTTTGCTTTTTTTTTTAGAATAATTTAGACAAAGCTGCTAATTTGAAATGGTTACTTGTTTGTTTTGAACAATTATCTGGTATGAAAATCAATTATGACAAGAGTGATCTCTTGGTAGTTGGGGTTGATGAAGATAGGGCCAATGAATTTGCTAGAATTAAAAGGAGTAGCTTTCCAATTAAATATTTGGGAGTTCCTCTGCATTTTACTAAGTGAAGAAAAGAAGATTTGCTGCCTGTTATTGATAAGATTGTCAAAAGGATTGCTGGCTGGAAAGGGAGACTTCTGTCCTATGCAGGCAGATTAACCTTACTTAAGTCTTGTTTGGCTAGCATCCCTGTTTACCTTCTTTCTGTTATCAAGTTTCTCAGGTGGGCTATTGACTTGATTAACACTCACATCATTTTCTATGGAACAATACCGAGGATAAACATAAGTATCATGTTGCTAATTGGCAACTTGTGTCTCAAAAAAAGGAGGTAGGTGGTCTAGGTGTTCCTGATCTGAGAAGCTTGAACATGGCTCTTCTAAGTTTTTGATCCTTAGATACCATTTGAACTCTAATTCCATCTGGACTAGAATTGTTGATTTCAAGTACAAGACTAAGAAACCTAACATTTTTTGTTGCCCTGATGTGGGATCATCGCCCTTTTGGAAGGGGGTTTTGTGGGCTATTCAAGCTGCCCATATGGGCATTAGATGGGTGGTTGGTAATGGAGAAAAGATTAGGTTCTGGAAAGATCAATGGCTAGGGAACACTAGTTTAGCCATTTTATTTTGGCCTCTGTATGTTATAAATGAGCAACAAGGGAAGTCAATTAAAGAAATTTAGAATGGTGAGGAGCTTCAGCTCTCTTTTAGGAGGAGGGTGTCTGAGAGGCTTATGCATATGTGGGAAGACTTAAGTTCTGTTGGGGAGAGCATAGTTTTGACAGATGAGGATGATCAAATTATGTGGAGTTTCAGCTCTTCTGGCCGGTACTCTGTTCAATCTTTATATGCTATAATAAACCATAGAGGTGTGGTTCCTGTGTTCGTACAGGCTGTTTGGAAATTGAGTATTCCTCCGAGGGTGCAATTTTTTCTTTGGTTGCTATCTAATAATAGACTTTTAACCAGAGACAATCTTGCTAAGAGGAGAGAGGTTAATGACCCGACTTGCTTATTCTGTGGAGAAAATGAGTCGATTACTCACCTTTTCTTTCAATGCTGTTTTGCTAAGCTTGTCTGGGATGCTGTGTCAGATTGGTTAAACAGGAGGGTGGGAAATGACTTTGAATCAGTAGCTTCTTTATGTTTGTCAAATAAAAGACATATGGTCTGTAATATCATCTCTTCTGCGGTGATGTGGGTTCTATGGAAATTACATAATTCTTTGTGTTTTCAGGGGGTGCCATGGAGGGGAATGAAGATGGTGTTTGCAATGACTAGAAGGATGCAAAGAGGATGGTTACCAATGCTAAAACTGGATGTTCAGGAGAAAGTGGAGCAGGTGATTCTGTTAATGGAGGCCGAAGCAAGCTCGCCGCCGCTGATCCAATGGAGGGTGGATTCTTGAGGGTCGGCTCCATCAAGTGTTCAGCGTTCGGAGGGCTCCAACAATGTGATCAACCAATGTAATAGGGCTTAGTTTTGGTGCTCCGGTTCTGGGATTACGTCTGCTATGGCCGTTATGGCTTCTGTGCGTTTTTACGCGACTTACACTGAACTGGCGTTGTTATCGCTTTATGTAATAAAGCGGGGAAACCTTTTATTCCAAAAAAAAAGATATTTAAACAGGAAACCCAGTACATATCTTCTGTGAGTGCCGTCATGACTAACTGAACTGTCAAAAACCAGGCGTTTTTTCTTTGCTTTGAAAATGTTCGTCAGGTATACATATAGAGCAACTTGCTGATCACCATTTTCCCTTTGGTGGTCTACAAATTCCATGACTAATTGACATTCACATCTGAGAAAAAGGAACTAATACTCTAATAGACATCAGAGGAGGATTGGCTTATGGTGAGCAGAGACATCAATTTATACATAGCCACATATATTTTACAGAGCATATGTGACGGTATTACTGCACTCCATAAAAGAGGCAGCACATTTCTGCCAAGGAAGGAACATTTGTAGTGGACCCACATACATACATGGTTCCATGAGTAGTACTGGATGTTGAAATCACACATACAACCATCGGCATTATTTATTTGTTCACAAACATAAGTAGAGCACCAATAACATTGATCACTCTACTCCACACACAACGGAAAGGTCAACACAGTACACAGCAGTGCGGCACGCACCAAACCAAAGTCCACAAGCACACCAGAGAAGAGCACAGCAATTGGCAGTAGCACGCATGAGAGCATATGTCTCATGCTGCTGTTGCACAAGCTGAAGGGAATTCAGCTGTTGGACTGAATTCTTGTTCGCTGGCTCTTATTTTATTTCACACCATCTTTTTCCAACAAGAGCACACAGGCATCAGTGATGGATGGATGGCTGGATCCATTGAGGAAGGCTGACAAAACAAACCAAAGCAAAGCAAACTAATGCAAACGTGACAGACCACAGTACACAGGCAAAAGCATATGCATCCATGTTGTCATTTGCGTGCGCACGCGCACACACACAAACCAATCAAGCGGATGCAGAAGCAGAATTGTGAACAACAGATCAAAGGCAAGACACCAGCTAGCAGGCCAGCCAGCGACTGTAATCCAACGAAGAGCCGACCGGGTTACTTCATCTGCAAGAGTTGGAGAGGAGAGCATCAGAGAGAAACAATAATATCTATCAATTCAGGTGAGCAAATCAACAACGTGAAGTGTCTGCCATGGCAGTCACCCTCGGTGCATGTATATAAAAGGACTGTATAATTCATCACTAACGACTAAGCCATTGGTCAGGAGAATAAATAATACCGTAGTCGTCTTGTACTATGATAAGCATATGTAAAAACATTGGAGTTAGATGGCAGAGATGGAGGGAAGGGAGTTCAATTGGTTACTAAATAGACCTGGAAGACAGAATTCTAACATATATGTTCTAGAGTTGCATGATGGGAAAGAGGGAGGGACTACCTGAGCACACTGCCCCTGAGCAGGGTCTTCTTGTAATACCGTGGGTGGATGGGTCTGTAGTGGTCTGCCTGTGAGTAGTCATCCCACTCCAACCTGTCCCACCATTCCTTCTCGCAGTCGCACTCCACTACCTTGTTGCTCCTGCCAATGTCAGGAAGGCGTGTCAGGCTCCAACAGCCCCTGATCTTGACGGTCTCAAGATTAGGTGCAGACATTCTGAACCCACAAATGTGCTGTAGCGAAGGGAGCTCGTGCAGGTGGATACGCTTCAGCTTGGGGAAGTCTTTGAAATTTGACTTGTGTCTTTTGAAAGGAAATATCTCCCTGAGATCACCGCACCATGCAATCTCAAGGGTCTCCAGGAGGCGCAAGCTGTCCCTGTCAGACCACCCCATGGTCAAAGGGAGTACGTGTGTAAGCCTAGGGCAGAAGTCCAGGTGCAGCAAAGTCAGGTGCGGAAATTTACGGCGTCCATTTGATGTTGAGATATAGCGTGACTTTAGGAGTTGGGATGCCCAGAATATTCTTAGCTGGCAACTAAACCTATAGTTTCGAACATTATCAAAGACAAAGTCTAAATTGGGGCACCTCTCGGTTCTGCACCACTCTAGGTCAGGCCATTCTGAACCATATTCATCTGAAGTGATACCAGTGATGGACGGGCTATCGTGCACGTGCAGGATCTTAGCACAGTTAGTTACAAACCTTGGGACAGCAATAGTACTAGTCTCTTCACCACCTGGAGGTGATTTTGTCCTCATTTGGTCTTGTATGTGTATGTAGCACCTCTTTTCAGGAAGATCAGGAACATCCGGGCAAGGCCACATCCACATGATTCCCAGAGTATCAGCACCGCCTTCACTAGCTTGTTGTACGCGGTCCACGGAGATCTCTGTGTATACTGTAGGCGCAGGCTGCCGCTGCAGGTTTGCCAGCAATTGCTGCTCACGACTGCCTGCGCTCTTGAATATTCCTTCATCTTTGCCACCACCACCAACAGCGGTAGGATGAGGAGGAGAGGAAATCTCCACATATGCCTTGCGGGAATCAGAATAGACTGGCTCCAGGGACGCAAGGAGCCTTGCATCCCGTACAGAAATGTGCCAGTCAAATTCACTGCTCGGCCGACTGCCATGTGGTGCAGCTGCAGGTGCTACTGAAGTTCCAGTAGTAGCAGTACTAGTACCCCGCTTGGCCTTCTCTACTCTAGATTGGGCGGTGGGTGCTGACAGCGAGGTGTCAATGCACAGCTTACCCAAGCCTTCTTGTTTCATTTGCTCTTTCTTCGGTGGCCACAGGATTGCACAAAGCTTCTCACAGTGAAGTAGATAGAGCTCATCAAGGCCCGGGATTTCTGTTGTACTGAGGTCTAGTGTTTTCACTGCCGTGCCTGAGATGTCTAGGGTGTGGAGAGCCCACATCCGTCCTCCCAACAGTAGATTCTTCAGTTTAGTACATCCACGGAAGGAGATCTTTTTAACTCCTGGCCCATATAAGGAGATTCCATCAACAATGATGACAGTCTCGAGGCACCAAACGTTGCTGCTGCTTACCCCTGGCCCAAATAAGCTCATCATGCGACTGGATGAGTTTCCTGAAAAGTCAAGATGCTCCATCTTGTTCATCTCCGAGAACAGATCATTTTCTGGGCAACTGCATGTGACATCAGATTTTTTCACTCGGAGCTTGCAGATGTTAGGCAATTGTCCCTGTAGCTGGCCCATGTCCCATCCTTCGGCTCCGATCACATTTAGCTCCCTGAGCTGGGTCATGAGAGCCAACATCTGCGCAGACAATATCTGATCACAGTCTGTGTAGCGCACGTCGAGCACCCACAGCCTCTGAAAGCACCGGCGAATGTCTTCCTCCTTCCCTGCTCCATCTGTGCTGGTCTTGTTGGTGCCTTTACAATGGTCAAGCCATAGAAACCTGAGGGCGTAGCAGCAGAGGAATGGAGGTGATTGGAAGTTGAAGGTGCAGCGTGAGAGCTTGAGAACACAAAGCTTGCCGGCATAGTGTTGGAAAATATCTCCGTTGGGAAGAGTTCTGTCCGGGATCTGATTGAACCCATAATTTGGTGAAATCCAACTTGGCTTGCTCTCGACGAACCTTGCCAAGTGAGAGGAGGGTAAGTATTGATGGTAGTCCACATCCAGTGCCATCTCCAACTGCAGTGCATCAGCAGCTCTCCACGATCCATCATCGTCACCATCAGCGCCAGCTTCTCTGTCTCCCTGTCCTTGCTGTTGTATGATGCCATCACATATCCAGTAGTTGGCGCCATGGGTGGCCCAGTCGTAGTCGACTGAATGGTGGCCTCTACAACAAAGCCCCAGCATGTACATGAAGCACTCTGCCACTTGTGTAGGCCGATCAACATAGCCCCCGCCAAGGCCAGTGTTAATCATGCACACTTCTACTACTTCTGAAGCCTCTTTCTGTACAAGGTAGGACCAGAGCTCTGGTGGAAGTTTCTCCTGAGGATAATAAGTTGAGGCCGCAGAGATAAAAGCATCAGTCGTCGTTCTTTCACTCTTCATGGTCTTGTCGACTTCCCTCCAGGGTATGAGCCGGAATCTCCCTTGGAATGTCCACAGGACCTTGTTGGTTGAAAACCCGGACAAAGGGAATCCACACAAACTTGCTAGATCGATCTCCTCATTGCTCCCATTGTGGAAAATCACCAAGAATCTGTGGTTCAGCTTCTGTATGTGTTGTTGCATCTCCTTGAGGACTTGTTGTAGCTCAGCGCGGGAGCCCTGGGCCACCCCACGGAAATCGTCCTCCTCGTCCTCCCTGTCGAACAACTCCATCACTTTATCGGGGAGCTTCAGCTGCTCCGCGACCGCCCGCTGAAGCGCTCTCCTGCTCTGCCACATCGAGCAGTCGATGTGGATGACCTGATCAAACTCCTGTTCGGCCAGAGCTCTCTTCCCATCTGCTGAAGTTGTGGAGAGGCGTTGGGCGATGGCTCGGAGGACGGCGGACGCCCCCAGCCCGTCCCAGCCGTCGAAGTAGAAGACATTGTCTCTGCTACTGACGGTTCTGGTAGGATAAGTCTCTACCTTCAGCGCTTGGAGTATTTCTTCAGCAGCCTTGTCTATCGTGTCAGCCCAAATTTCCTGCATACATATGCACATATGCGTCAGGCCGTTGCGGATTAAGGTGGAGCAAAAACCAGAGGAGAGATCTTGCTTGCTGCAACCTGGGTGGATTACCTGAGTACGCATGATGGATTGGATTGAGGTAATTAACCGGCCACGCCGGTCAGTTCGCCTTGGAGGATTATTTGTGCGTTCGGTGTACCACTACTATATCTTCAGCGATTAATAATGCTGCTGCAACCTCCGCTTCATTTTGGAAGGGAATGGTCCATGCGCAGAGCTGCCAATGTCCAGCAGACCGATTCCATTTGGATTACAATATGGAATCTAACCCATCGCGATCATTCCATCCGCTGACCTGATCAACACACAGACATGAAACTATTCACTCAATCCTGAAATATAGGAGATCTTCAGTTTTTTCTATATCAAATTATCTTAAGTTTATTTGACCAAGTTTGCAGAGTAAAATCTCAACTTCTATTACATCAAAAAGGTAAGTTACGAAAATACATTTCATAATGTGTCAAAGAAAGCTTATTTGGTGTCATAAATATTATTGTACTTTTTTCTAGATTTTTTTGTGAAATTTATGACAACTTGAGTTAGAACAACTAAAAAATACATCATATTTCTGGACAGATGGGGTATTTAAGAACATATAAATTATCCATGTATATGTAGCGTCTCATGCATCATAAATTTTATGCTATACGTATGATATATCCACTTCCCCAAATTAGTTGATTTCCATGATGCGCAAGAGCTACATGTAGCAGAGCAGCAACAGACGATGAACTTGAGTAGCAGGACATATATAAATATTTTCTTGTCGAATACGTAGCAGGAGATATGTAGAAAGACAAACCGATCAAACCAAAGATTGCATGTAATTTCAAACTAGTGGTTCTTCCCATGATTATGAGCATGTTACATACATTGCAGATGGACTTGAATTTGCAACGGAAGCGATCCAATAATTAAATTACATACCTCGCTTATGTTGAATTGGCATGCAGTAGCAGGATAGAAGCCAAAGAGATGGAACCGACGATTGAGCGAGTGTTGTGCTTGTGTTCGTGTATGAGGGAGAGTCCAGAGAGAAGCAATGTAGAGGTGGTAGTCCACAGAAACTTTGCTTTTTAGGCAAATGTTCAGATAAACTTTTCTTTTGTGTGTCTGTATGCTCATCAGAGATGATTCTTTGCTTATTGGGTGAGACAAAAGAAAACAAAAGACGATTCTTTGCTTGGAACCAGCTAACCAGCCGCTGCAGGATTTTCAAAAGATAAAGATTAATAAAGAGATGCTAGTAATAAGTAGCAAGGGCTCCTCTGTTCCTCACTATCTGCCTGATCAGGTCCTACAGTAGAGTAGAGGGCAATTGAGTACACTATCCTTTTCTTTTGCTGCGCCTTGTGAGGGGCTCAAAGTGAGCAAAGTTGGGGAATCCAATGTCTCAGTAAACTTGATGTTTTAGCTTTTCGATAATATATAGGTTAGGTTCATATCAACTTGAGATTGTGATCTGCATGTTTCCATATATTTCTTTTAATGAAAGGTATTTTTCTTAAAAGTTCTACTGAGTATTAATCTATCTTAAAATTTTGAAAATATAAAATTTTCAGACGAAGGGAGTACTACTGGCTAGATGTAGAATCCGGGCTGCTGCTGTAAACCGGTGTTTCCTTTAACACTGGTCTATTATCAATTAAAGAATGTTTGGAAGGCTCCATGCTAAATCTCACAAAATAAATCAAATAAAAAATGAATTTTAGAAAACTACCATTAGTATTTGGCCAACAAAATAAGATTCCATAATAAATCTCAAGGTCTAGAAATTACTAGTTTAATCAAAGAAAGTAAAATAAAAATCTCCATTATACTACTTCTTGGCAAAGACCAAATGGACCACTATAGCTTCACTTGTGCTCCTTATTCATTTGGTTATTTATTAGTTTGCGCCCATCTCTTCCGGTTAGACTTCATATATGTCTACATTTTTTAGTTTGTGATGTATATACTTTACGGTGCATGTATGCATAATAATAAGTCATATCTATATTCTTTATATTCTACATTCTATATTTCTATATCCACATCTATATACTCTAATAAAGCTAGTCCACTATATACGGCGCATAAGGAGGTGGGCAGTAGAAGGCTTTGCTAAGGTGACCTGCACAGCAAGGCACAGGCGGTCCTGCACAGCAATTGGTCGTTGGCCGTAGGAAGCCTCACTTGATATTGTTGCTTTGTGATGATCAGAGTTGGTCATGTTTTTAGATTGGCAGCTTGCAGTAGACTATGGCAGCTAGCCCTTCAGGGCAGGTCTAACTCAGTGTTGGACAACGTCGATTAGTGGCGCAAGCAGATTTTTCAAAAGATAAAGATTAATAAAGAGATGCTAGTAATAAGTTGCAAGGGCTCCTCTGTTCCTCACTATCTGCTTAATCTGGTCCTACAGTAGAGTAGAGGGCAATTGAGTACACTATCCTTTTCTTTTGCTGCGCCTTGTGAGGGGCTCAAAGTGAGCAAAGTTAGGGAATCCAATGTCTCAGAAAACTTGATGTTTTAGCTTTTGGATATTATATAGGTTAGGTTCATATCAACTTGAGATTGTGATCTGCATGTTTCCATATATTTCTTTTAGTGAAAGGTATTTTTCTTAAAAGTTCTGCTGAGTATTAATCTATCTTAAAATTTTGAAAATATAAAATTTTCAGACGAAGGGAGTACTACTTGCTAGATGTAGAATCTGAGCTGCTGCTGTCAACCGGTGTTTCCTTTAACACTGGTCTATTATTAATTAAAGAATGTTTGGAAGGCTCCATGCTAAATCTCACAAAATAAATCAAATAAAAAATGAATTTTAGAAAACTACCATTAGTATTTGGCCAACAAAATAAGATTCCATAATAAATCTCAAGGTCTAGAAACTACCAGTTTAATCAAAGAAAGTAAAATAAAAATCTCCGTTATACTACTTCTTGGCAAATACCAAATGGACCACTATAGCTTCACTTGTGATCCTTATTCATTTGGTTATTTATTAGTTTGCGCCCATCTCTTCTGGTTAGACTTCATATATGTCTGCATTTTTCAGTTTGTGATGTATATACTGTACGGTGCATGTATGCATAATAAGTCATATCTATATTCTTTATATTCTACATTCTATATTTCTATATCCACATCTATATACTCTAATAAAGCTAATAATGTCCACTATATATGGCGCATAAGGAGGTGGGCAGTAGAAGGCTTTGCTAAGGTGACCTGCACGTCAAGGCACAGGCGGTCCTGCACATCAATTGGTCGTTGGCCGTAGGAAGCCTCGCTTGATATTGTTGCTTTGTGATGATCAGAGGTAGTTGGTCATGTTTTTAGATTGGCAGCTTGCAGCAGACTATGGGAGCTAGCCCTGCAGCGCAGGTCTAGTTCAGTGTTGGACAACGTCGATTGGTGGCGCAACCAGATCCGACGATTGTGACAACTACTTGGTTTGCAGTGGACTACGGGGCCAACCGTACATTGCAAAGGTTAGATTGATGTGGGACATTGTCGGTGACAATGACACAAGCGAGGGCGATGGTGTGTCCGCTAGACTGCTCTGTCTTTCAAGTGATGTTGTTGCAACGTGGCAATCGGCTTGCGGTGGTATGGTGCTTGCGGAGGCACAGTGGTTGTACAGCCGTTTTGATTTCAGTTGTAGAGTGATGGTTGGTGCAGCGGTTTGGTGTTGTAACGAGGCGGTGTGGGTTGAGGTCCCAATCCAACCAACAGCTGTTTTTTAGTCACTCTATCTTGTTATTGTGGTTGTCTGACCCTTTTAGAGAGGTCGTTGTTTGCTATGTTGTTTTGCCTAGTCTGAGTTTCTCTTTTTTTTAATATAATTGGTAGCTTTGCTATTTTGATTCTTTTTTTTAAAAAAAAAGAAACTTCCATAGATGCATAGTATTCTTACAGGTAGAGGTACGTACGTACGAAGTCGGCTGCAGGTGGCATTCAGTTGAACACAATATGTCGTTTCTGTGCTTCCACAGCAATCAGCGGATCAGAGGTTTATGTGCTTTCGGTAGTGGAAAATACATAGGTCAAGAAAGAGAAGCTTCACTGGCCTTGGGCTATGCTATTGATTTGTCGTCACATTCTTCTTCTATTCCTTAAAATAGCTCCTTATCCCCAGTTCCAGGATAACGACCTACTCGTCACATTCTTCTTCTATTCCTTAAAATAGCTCCTTATCCCCAGTTCCAGGATAACGACCTACTCTAGCATCTCTCGGCATGAAATATACACGGCAGGAACATGAGGGCCATGTCGTGTTTTAAAATCATGACAAAATGAACGGCATGACAATGAAATGCTGAGCTTCTTGCATGACCAGAGATTCTATGTCACTGTCAGCTATTTATTATCACTAGCAAACATGCCCGTACTTTGCAACGGGAGAAAAAAAAACAATCAAATATTCATAAAAAACAATGATCGGAATGATACATATCTATTTATGTTTGCCCAAAATTTTAAAGCTATAATTTATTTTAAGATGAGTATTACATCTATAATATAAGTTAATATTGTCAATAATATGACATTGTCCTATTAATCCAATATCAAATTTAAAATATTTTTTGGATATATTTTTCTGCCATTACAAAGCATAGAAATATTTACTTGTAAATATATCATAATTTTAATTTCTTAATATACATATGTTGGTACAGTTAAATAAGAGTTCCACGACTTCCTTTGTAGACCCATAAAAAGTTGCAATTCTAACGTTGATTCAAAATCAGCAAAAAATTAGTTGTTAGATGTGTCAAAACTCAAAACTTGTTTGTCCCCTAATAATTACAACGGGAGTTCTCTCTCGATTTTTCACATGCTAGGCCTCGTTGGGAATTATACTGGACTGAACAGGATAACAAATTGCCCATGGCTGAACCAGATTATAACAAGTTTTTAATTAAAAAATTCAATTACATATCTTGGTGTTGAAAATCTCGGGTTTTTTTAAGAAAGAGGATTCAAAGATCCATGGTATTTTTTTTTTGACATTTACAAGAAAAACACACAAAAAAAGGAGAACTTAGAACCTGAAGGTGGTGGATGTGGATAGA